TATCTGTTGATCAACGAGCTAGTCAACTAGAGGCTTACTAGGGACATGTTGTGGTCTATTTATTCACACATGTATTACGATTTCTGGATAACACAATTATAGCATAAATAATAGACAATTATCATGAACAAGGAAATATAATAATAATCATTTTATTATTGCCTCTAGGGCATATTTCCAACAGAGTGCTGAAAGATATCCGCGGAGGTGAACTCCATGACCGGTGCCCAACCAGATTCGATAGGCACGGATGTACGCGGTTCGGATCCTATAGCCGGAGACGAGTCTGAGGGTCCGATGATACCGACCTCATAGGAGGTAGGATTAGTGTTTGGCTCCAACGCCGATGAGTATGTGGCCTCCGTGGCGGGGTCTATCCACCCGTCCTCGGATGGCACAATCTTCTCCGGACTGATTCTCGGGTCCGCCGCAGGCGCGATCTCCCGAATGCCGTCCAATGGCAGATCTAAGGCATGCTCATCGCGACTGTTCGGCGTACCTGACATGGGCTCGAATCCATCGAAGATAAAGTCTCCATGGATGTCGGCAGTGTAGTTCAAGCTTCCAAACCTGACCTGATGGCCAGGGGCGTAGCTATCGATCTGCTCCAGATGGCCAAGCGAGTTGGCCCATAGTGCGAAGCTGCCGAATACGAAGATCTGTCCAGGAAGGAAAACCTCCCCTTGGACCGCGTCGTTGAAGATGATGGAAGGAGCCATCTAGCCTTATCGCGACGGCACAGTGGAACTCTCAATGAAAGCACCAATGTCTGTGTCAAAACCGGCGGATCTCGGGTAGGGGGTCCTGAACTATGCGTCTAAGGCTAATGGTAATAGGAGGCTGGGGACGTGATGTTTACCCAAGTTCGGGCCCTCTCGATGGAGGTAATACCCTACTTCCTGCTTGATTGATCTTGATGATATGAGTATTACAAGAGTTGATCTACCACGAGATCGTAGAGGCTAAACCCTAGAAGGTAGCCTATGATTATGATTGTCCTTGCCCTACTGACTAAACCCTCCGGTTTATATAGACACCGGAGGGGGCTAGGGTTATACAGAGTCGGTTACAGAGAAGGAGATCTACATATCCGAATTGCCAAGCTTGCCTTCCACGCAAAGGAGAGTCCGGACACGGGACGAAGTCTTCAATCTTGTATCTTCATAGTCCAACAGTCCGGCCAAAGTATATAGTCCGGCTGTTCGAGTACCCCTTAATCCCGGACTCCCTCAGGGGTCGTCGTGCCCCGCTCTACGGCGTCTGAGGTGTTGTCCTCGGGCGCCTTCTGGATGGTCTCGTCCGCTCCTCCCCGGCCGAGAGATGGCCTTTGGGATGACACCTTGGTGTCCTCCATGGCAAGGGAAGAGAGGGCACGAGATGGCCCGTCACTCTCCGCCTCTCCAGGGGCTAGAGAGTTACCCTCCGAAGAGAAGGGAATCAGGATCTTGCACGGAGGGCGAAAAGCATAAAAAGATTGGGCATGACAGAGACAGATTAAAGCAATAATTGAACGAGTAAGTTTCTGACACTTACATTTCGGCTAGGGGCTTCTCCCTTTGGACCCTCTCTGGGCTGTGTTCGGACTCCGAGTTCGAACTATCCGAGAGGACCACCCTCCCCTTCTTCGGTGTTGGCCCCTCCAGGTTCTCGGAGGCTGTCCTCTTTCCCCTCCTCGTCTTGAGGGGGCAGTCGCTCTCCACTTCCTCTTCCTCCTCCTCCCCCTCCTCCTCCTCCTCTTCGTCCTCGTCTTCCTCGTGGGAGGACACAAGCTCGGTCTCTCCGGACACATCTTTCGGAGGACCTTTGTAGCAGGGCCCGTCCTTGGGCCCCTTGCACTTCTTCTTAGCCTTCTTCTCCGCCGCCTTATAAGGCGCCGGGACCAGCATCTCCTCCAGCTCAGGAGTGACTGGGTCTTCAGGCAACGGAGCCGGACTCTTGATCCGCTCCGACTTCTTGGTCCAGCCCTGTAAAAAAAGATGGGTTTATGAGTTCGGCATAGATCAAAAATATATATATGAACTAGGTATGTCTTCGAAGATATTGAATACTTACCAGAGAGACCGGATTCGTGGCACTAAGGCCGACGTCTTTGGTCTCCATGGGCCAGCTCTTCTGCGCCTTGAAGAGCAGCTTCCACATTCCCTCGTGCGTGGTGCCGAGGAAATGTTGTAGAGTCCGCGGCTCCTCCAGCTTGAATTCCCATATGGGGGAAGCCCGACGCTGGCAGGGGAGAATGCGGCGGAAGAGCATAATTTGAACCACGTTGGTTAGACCAACGTTCTTCCTCGGCACATTGGTGATGCACATTTGTAGCGCCTGCACCTCCGTCTGGGACCCCCAGTCGTGGCCCTTCGCGTTCCAGGAGTTGAGCCTCATGGGGGTCCAGATCTGAACTCCGGAATCGCCGCCCACTTAGTGCGGCGCAGCTCAATGATGTAGAACCACTCCTGTTGCCAGATCTTCACGGTCTCCATGAAGGCCCCCTTGGGCCATGTGGTGTTCGGCAGCTTGCTGATCATAGCTCCGCCGCAGTCCGCGTGCTGTCGACCACCTCCGGCTTCACGTTGAAGACCTTGAGCCATAGGCTGAAGTGTGGGTGGATGCGGAGGAGAGCCTCACACACGACGATGAACGCCAAGATGTGGAGGAAAGAGTTCAGGGCTAGATCATGGAAATCTAGCCCGTAGTAGTACATGAGTCCCCAGACGAACGGGTGGAGTGGAAAACCTAACCCTCTAAGGAAGTGGGGAAGGAAGACGACCCGTTCGCCGGGCTCCAGAGTGGGAATGACTTGACCTTCGAGGGGAAGCCTATGCTTGATGTTTGCGGTGAGGTACCCCGCACTCCGGAGATCTTTTATCTCCTTCTCCATGACGGAGGAGGCCTCCCACTTTCCTTTGGAGCCAGATCCGGCCATGGTCGGAGGAGGAGGTGGTGGTGGTGGTGAGGAAGACGAAAACTTTGCAGGCGTAGAGAGCTTGGGAGATTGGAAGGCTGAGTAGATGTGAAGGCGTGGGGGAGAAAGTAAAGAACCATTGCCCTCTTATAGGAAGTAGAAATGCCAACCGCCCCCACTCGTGCCTTGAATCTCGCCTATTCCAAATGAAAGCGTGCGCCGCAAATGGTTGGATTACCCAAATATCATTGATGTGCAATCCCGTATTAAGTGGGTACGATCTCTGTTTTGACGGGACGTGCCAATGAGGCGTGGCCTCGAAACATGGAACACGGGGTGGGAAAACGGTTTAAAATGCTGAAGGGTCAAGTCTGGCGCTTCGCCGAAAAAGTTTTCAGTAAAGACACTGTTCTTATTTTTTATATATCCTGCCTTCACGGCTAAGGGTTGTGTTTATTATGAAAAGCCAGATACAATTCTTTCACAGAGGAAAGCCGGTGTGTATTCTTCAAAGAACCCGCCTTGCAATGCCGAAGACAATATGAACGCCGAATATATCATCATGGAAAACAGGTTCAAGGGCTACTATGGGAGTCCTGGACTAGGAGGTCCTCGGGCGTCCGGTCTATTGGATGTGGGCCGGACTGATGGGCCGTTGAGATACAACATAGAAGATCTCGTGTACGGTGGGGACACCCGTATGCGTGAATGGCAAGTATAGGTGTCCGATATGTTATTCCTTTCTGTAAAACCGGCTTTGTACAACCCTAAGCCACTCCGGTGTCTATATAAATCGGAGGGTAGATCGGAGGCAGGATCACAACATTGCTAGGCTAGCTGATCTAGGGTTAGCCGAATCGATCTCGAGGTAGATCAACTCTTGTAACCCCTATACCCTTCGAATATAATCAAGCAGGAGTAGGGTTTTACCTTCATTAAGAGGGCCCGAACCAAGGTAAATATTGTGTCCTTTGTCCATAGTTACCATTGGTCCTCAGACATACAACTTGGGCCCCCCTACCCGAGATCTGCAGGTTTTGACACCGACACTCATCAACCTTCAGGCGTCCACTGCTTTACAGGGCGGCGTTACTTTCGAGCGTCTCTTTGATCGTTCTCCTGATTACTCGGCGCTTCATTTGTTTGGTTGTTCTTCTAGCCCCTCGTGAACGCACCAAACTGTCCGCTCAGTCTGTTGAGTGTGTCTTCTCAGGATACAATGATGAGCACTGTTGAGTGGGTCGGCTCATTCGAGCCCTCGTGGGTGTTCGGCGAGTGAATTTTCCTAACTCCAATCAACTGACTAGAAAGAGGGTTTCTTGAAAGACTACAACAGCCGCCAGGGAACTTCTGAGCCTGTGGCTGCCATTTCGGGGTTGAGAGACGGGGGACCTCAGACCTTTAAGAGCTCTGTGTTCTTCGTCAACGTCTAGTTATCATCGTAGCTTATTGAGAATAAAATTACTCGTTTTTTCTATGTGGTGCCACGAGGTTAAAGAGTTTTGTGTCCTCACTGATTTGATTATTCAGATGTGATGAGGTTATCTTAGTGTGTCAAGTTTTTTTGTTGATTTAATTTTATGAAGGTGAAATCTTACACTAACATCATACTGAAAATATTGTGATTCAACAACCTGAACCTCTAAGGTATCATCCCCGCCCAACCAGGTTCATCGATCAAGGCCTCCCATCTTTCTGAATGGGCGACTAAAAGATACTTTCAAAAATCTTTCTGAAAAGGGTGACAACGTTGCTTCACTCCAGATCGACTGAATCGTATCGTTTTGGATGTACGACTCAACATTGTTGGTGCGGGACGAAGGTAGAGCGGCAAAGTCGTCAGTGAAGCGAAGCCAAGATACTGCTCCAGATAACACGACACTCCACATGGGTCCCCGGGTAATAAGCTTCAAACAGATGCAAACAGGGTAAGCCTTGTTGGTTTCCAAGATAAGCTTCCAAATGGCACTAGTCAAGGCGGCTGCCAAACGAGTCAAACATTTCCGACCTTCCGCTCAACGCAACCACAAACATTCAACCACACCTTAAATGGTTCGCGGATCGATCAGCCACCCGTACAGCAACGGCAAAGAAGCTTGAAGCAATGGCGAGACCGTTTTGCGGCCGTCGTCCCCTGTTCCTCTTCGAGGTTACGGCAGTCGCCATCCTCGCGGCGCTGTTGCCGCTGGGCGGCCATGCGCGGGTCTGCCCCCCGTGCGGCTCGACGGCGGTGCCGTACCCGCTGAGCACGGCGGACGGGTGCGGCGACCCAGCGTACAAGGTCCGGTGCGCGGCCGGCACGTCGACGCTCTTCTTCGACGCGCTCAACGGCACCTCCTACCCGATCACCTCCGTGTCCCCGGCGGCGCAGCGCCTCGTGGTCGCCCCGGCGCCGCTGGTGTCCAGCGACACGTGCGTGTCCGTGGGGGCCCCCGCCGGGCGCGGCGTGCAGCTGGACCCGTCGCTGCCGTTCAACGTGAGCTCCTCCAACACCATCATGCTCCTCAACTGCACCTCCGCGCTGCTGCGCTCCCCACTCAACTGCTCGTCCAGCTCGCTCTGCCATGCCTACGCCGACGCCGCGCGGTCGCCCTGCGCGCCGCTGCCGCTCTGCTGCACGTTCGTGGCGGGCGGGTCGTCGACGTCGCACCGGATCCGCGCGTCGCCCGAGCTCTGTAGCGCCTACACCAGCTTCGTGAACCTCGACCCCGCGCAGCCGCCGGCGACGTGGGGCGGCCGCCTCGGCCTCGAGCTGCAGTGGGCAACGCCGAGGGAGCCGCTCTGCCAGACGCAGGCGGACTGCGAGGACGGCGCCAACGCCACGTGCGCCGGCGACCCGGTCGCGGCCGGCGCGGTGCGGCGCTGCCTGTGCATGCCCGGGCTCGCGTGGGACCCCGTCGCCGGCGCGTGCCAGCAGAGTACGTTGCCGACGAATCATTTTGGTCGAACTGAGCTCGAGCTGGTTCATTTTGGTCATTGGCTCATACCGTGATATGCTTATTTGTGCAGTTCCTTCTGATTGCGAGCGCGCTGGAGACTGCGGGGGATCAAACCGTGCGCCTCTCATCGCAGGTATTACGTCTCTCTGATTACCCTGTTTCAGTCTCATCCTTACTTGCAATTGCAAATCTAGTTTCTCCTCCGGTTCCGGTTTGCTTAGATCAGTGGTGTCATGTCAAGCGACGAACTGTTGCGGTGTGACTGTAGCTAGATATGTTCGGCTCTGACTAAAGAAAACGCCGCATTCACTACAGTTTTGGTCAACATTGGTGGCTTTCTCTCTTAGAAAAACAAGCATTGACTGGCCAGCCCTACGTTGGGTCCTCGTGCTCTGAATTTGGGCTTCGGCAGCGACTGCTGTGTGCCGCCGTGCCGTCCTAGACTTGTACATGGACGAGCGGCGTGAACACCGGTCGGATCATGGAAGTGCCAGGCCCTGCATACCTTAAACATCTGGTCCTAAGATTGAATATTGACGCACCATGTTTGACTAATGCCAGACCAGCAATCCCGGACACCAAAACCATATTTTGGCGTGGGATGAAAGGGAACAGCTAGGATTAGAAGAAAGATGCTGATTTCAAAATTTTGACTGAGACTAAAAGAATCAACGTTTAAGATGATGAATTAGCCGGTCAATTTAGAGATAAACATATATTGGGCTCCACAAACTAGATGGAACAGAGCCCCTAAGCCCAAATTGTGGTTCCAATTCCAACGGCTGCCACCATCCTTCAGTCTCAGCGTCTTTCCTAGTAGGGGCGGAGCCAGGATTTGAGTATAGGGGGGGCAAGTTACTAATAGAAATTTAGGGCAGAAAATAGCTATCATAATATTTGTAAAAACAACACTAAAATTATATTAGCTTAAATTTGCCTCTAGGATTGCCAATAAGATCAAATATTTAATAATTTGAGCAGAGGAAATCTTAGCTGCTAATTCCCTTTTAGTTCGAGAATTCAAAGCAACATGCTTAAAAAATGAGTTGATCTTTAGTGTGTTTGAAGGTAATTTTCCCTTCATAATTGCTGAACTAGAAGTCTTGGAATTAACATCACATATCACACAATCGAAATATCTAAATATGATTTCTATTTATTTCAAGTACATGATCAAAATTGAGAGAGATTAGTACTACTTCCTCCAGCCCCATGTAACTGACGCAACTCATTCACTATATAGAAGATGTCCAGGCACACAACGACGACATTTAATTAGGGCCAGGGGGATTACTAGACAGTCTTTGTTAGTTCTAACCTTGGATAGATGCGTAGTGCATTTGCTGGAGAAGAATTGCAGACAAAGAGATATGCACTTGAGCAATTTGGCCGTAGGTTAATCACGGAGGGCAGGTGGCTGCAGGGGCGAATGGCGGCTCTGCAGCAGAACGATCTCGCAAATCTCATAGGTTAATCACGGAGAGTTGCCGCACTTACGCTAGGGCTAGGAAAGGGCCAAGGAGATCACCTAGGACTGCTATGAATGGGCTTTCTCATGGGCCTATTCCCCCTTTTCAGATTTACGGGCCAGGGGGAGCTCCTATTTGCCACATTTTGCAGCCACGAGGATTCGAGCTCACAAACTCGGATTCATAGTGGCTGCAGCACACCACCACGCCAGACGGGTATAGCTGATTGTATGTAGCGCGAAATCTTATAAGAACTCAAAAGCAGCGTTAACATATGAAAACAATTTTGGGAAAATCAAAACATTTCATGAAAGAAATGTGATTTCTTTCTAAAATTATGAATATTTTTCAAAACAGGACCACTTTTGAAAATGATGGACAATTTTTTTGAAATAGAACATATTTCGAAAATGATGATATCTTTTTTAAAATGGGAACATTTTTTGAAATTCAAAAATCAAACTTAGAAATGCGAATATGAAACTCCTGGACAAAATTTGAAAACACGAACATTTATTAAAATAATTTTTGAAACTGGAATTCTTTTTTTGAACCTCATGAAAAAAATGAAAACATGAACATTTTTTAAAATTTTTGAACAATTTTTCTAAATGAGAACATTTTTAAAACGTGAACATATTTTAAATTGTGAACAAAATTTTGAGAATGCGATCATTTTCTGAAATTGCGAACAAAAGTTTGAACGTGCAAACATTTTTTGAAATTCCTGAACATTTTTTGAAAAATCTGACCAAATTTTGAAAAAGAGAACACTTTTTGAAATTCCAAACAATATTTGAAATTTTTAAACAAAATAAAGAGGAGAACAAAAAAAGAATAAAACGAAACAGGAAAATTGAAAAACGCGATTTTTCTTTGAAAAATGGGAACAAATGTGAAATTCCAAAACTTTTTTCGAAAATTTGAAAATGTGAACATTTTTTGAGAATCACGAACAAAATTTGAAAAAGGGAATAAATGTGAAATTCCAATTTTTTATTTGAAAATTTGAGCAAATTTGAAAACACGAACATTTTTTGAAAATCACGAACACATTTTGAAACAGCGAACAAATTTTCAAAATACAAACAAATTTTGTACATTTTTTAAAATTACAGCATTGAAAACCTGAACAAATAAATTTGAACATTTTTTAAAGCCGAACAAAAGTATTGAATATGTTGAACTTTTTCTGAAATTGCGATTTTTCTAAAGCAAAAATAAAAGAAAGAAAGAAAAATAATAATGAAATGAAAAACGCGAAAAAAAAAAGAAACATATAATAGCCAATCTCTAGCATGTATAGGACACTAGCATTGCGGAGCTCCGGTGTCTAGCAGCGCAGCTCAAAGCGTGGGAGGTTTGAGGTTCGATTCCTTGTTCGGTCATTTTTTGCGGGATTTTTTCTGTACGAAGCACCCG